TACTATATGATCTCACTTACATGAAATAAGCAAATATACAGAAACCAAAGATTATTAATGGTTACCAGGAGTGGGAGATAGGAGGAAAGGAGGTGTTTTTATTCATGGGCATTGAAGCTGTGGTAATGGTGGAATGCTGTGGATGAGGATAGTGATAATGGTGGCACAACATGAAAAATGTAGTCAGTGTCAATGTGGAATTTGTGGTGTTGGCAGATGTTTTGGTGTATATATTTTCAACAAAATTAAAATAAAAGAGAAAAAAAAGTCTCAAAGAGATGACTTACCAAAATTTTTTTCCATTTTTTGAAAACTCTAGAACATCATTTTAAAGAGATTTATAAGTCAATTCCAAACAGGTAGATAATTTTGAAATATTAAAAAGATTAATTATTATGTCAACATTAAATGCATACTTATTATCAGTACTAAGACCAACAACACCCAATAAGGTGACAGACATATATATATATATATTATATGTACACATTGGTTTTTTTTTTTTTTAGGTGCCATTGAATCTGTTCTGACTCATAGCAGCCCTGTGTACAACAGAACAAAACACTGCCTGCTGAGTCCTGCACCATCCTTACAGTTGTCGCTGTGCCTGAGCCCATTGTTGCAGCCACTATGTTGATCCATCTTGTTGAGGGTCTTCTTCTCTTTTGTTGACCCTCTGGTTTACCAAGCATGATATCCTTCTCCAGGGACTGGTCCCTCTTGATAATGTGTCCAAAGTATGTGAGATGAAGTCTGGCCATCCTCACTACTATGGACCATTTTGGAAGGAGGTTACATCAACTGTTAACTTCCTAGAAAACCCCCAGAATAAACTGGTTAGCAAAGATGAGCTTATTACCTATTGTATTTAGGGAGGACAGCGTTTTGACAGAGTCTCGGACTACCCAGAAGATAGGATGGGGAAGTGGCATATGTGCAATGTTTGAGGATCTAGGATTGAGTGGTTAAGACAAGTCTTTCAATGTTTGGATCTTGTTGGATTTGGGCAGGGGCTGATTACCCAGTGAGAAAGGTAAGCACAGATTTACTTGTGCTTACTGACTAATCTGTAGTGACCAATATCACATAGGTTTCACCGGGCTTGCCTTGCCTGTTGGATAATCTGCCCCTGGATTTGGGTATATTTTTTGATAAAATTATTTTAGGATTTGTGGATACAGAGAGGCAAGCATCTGAAAGTGAGTCTTGTTAATAAACATTTATTTGATAATTGAGCAATTTGCCAAGTTTTAGGAGTTTATGTTTCAGATAAATTAATTTTCAGTGAGTTTTTGGAAAGAAAAAAAAGAGAATATTTTGTACTAATTTACAGCCTTATCTTCATCGGCAAGAACTCGCTAGAACAAATAGTAAAATCATGTTGAGTGTAGGCTACCTTAGTTCTTGGACCTAGTAGTTCAGGTGGATGCAGATGTCTCCGTTCTCAGTTTCAATAGTACCCTGAGAACTGAACTGTAATGTGAATGCTTTACTGTCTGCTTTGTGTGGAAAAGGTATAAAATATGAGGTTTTGTTTACCTGAAAGATCTAAACAAAGCTATACTACTCTGTTTTTCCTTTTGTTTGCCAAAAAATGGAAAAAAAGGATTGGACAGAAATGACAGCAGTAATCATTTAGGGGTACAGTGGACTGAAAATACATGCTTCGAGCTCAGGATAAATAGACTACGAAATGACTCTATCCTATAACACCTTTTCATTTAAAAAATAAAATGACTGAACTAAATATGTGTTCAGGATAATTGACTCTCAACTTTCAATGAGGTGAAAAGGAAGAAAGATTATTGAGTAAAAATCCTGTAGAGACATGCCTAATGTTGTGTTTTGAGACTGTTTTAAGTGCACCTGTCTTAATCTTCCTGTGTTAATGCACTGTACTCATTGATCTGATTCACTCATATTTCATTACCTAATATTATATAAAATACAACGTAGACAGGTTTGAAATATACTACCAGAGAATAATTTATTAATCTAGTAACAGGAGTTTCAAAACCCTGAGATTCCACTAGTGGTTATAAATCAAACAGTGAAGTAGGCTAAATATGAGATCCAGGAGACCAGATTTTAAAGAACAGAATTTAAAGGGCTTGATAATGGCATAAAAGTTACACAGGTATTAGATGCTTTTAAAATAATTAATTCATGAAAAAAAACTTTACAAACTATTAAGCTAGAGAATTACACTTGAATTAAAAAAAAGTATCTCTTGCTAATGCAATGTTGTGAGTGTAATAGTAAAATTTTCAGGGGTGCAGATCTAAAGGTATTTATAGATTTCAAATCTCTGTAGATTTTTCTCAGATTCAAATAATTATACAGCAAAATTATCTTTAAAAAAATCAACAGCATGTGTCGTCTTATCTTCTCAAAAAAGCTTCACTTCCTCCTACTTTTGTTCTAAGGGGAATAAGGATTAACTTTGCTTCTTCTGCCCCTATCCCAGTCCACTACCCTCTTAGGGTTTTCTTTTACTAAAAGTGGAGACGATGCGGCCACGTGCTATTCCATCTCTTCCACTGAAGAGGAACTGTCATCCATGCTAAAGCTACTCTCTGAGCTCTGCTTATTCCCCAAGACCTCAGGCCTCAACCCTATTTAGGATTCAGCAGTATGCTTGTCTCCTGCGAGAAGAACCACTCATTGAATAGCTTTCTGCTGTATTTATCCACAAAATGCAATGGAAGAGGTAAAATCTGTTTTCTCTTATTTATTGAGAAAATAGCATTAAGAGTGATTTGTTAGGATGTGCTATAGCTCTTCTTGCCAACCTATGATGATAATAGTCAAGTAGTAGTCCAGAGTTGAGAATATCAAGAAAAGTAGCAGAGAGGAAATGGAGGTTACAACACTAGGGAGGAGTCGGAGTGTTAGACACAGCACGCTGAATTGAGAGCATAAAGGCAGGAGACCACAATCAGCTGGCAAGACCGAATAAGGAACACAGGGGACTGATGCTACTGTTGAGCTGTGGTCATAAAGGTGTGATAAGGTGTGGAAAGGGAAGAGAGGAAAGGAAAGGAATATACTTCCAAATAGATATGTATTATTTGTGTAAACTATTATTTGCTCTGTACCACCTGGAAGGATAACAGGTAAATAAGAGAACCTAACTTATTTATAGCTAATGACAAAAGTTCAGAAGGTGATAGGAAGACTTATTTTACTTATCACATAAGCCTGTCTTTTAGTCCATACAGTCACCATCAGATTGTAACTTCAAAATCCCTTCCTTTCTTAAAACACTATCTGTCTTTCCTTGTCCTCCAGGTCACAGTTCCAGCATGTCACTGCCCCAGTGAATAGGGTCAAGAAGAAATATTGCCCACTGTGTTCCAGTCCGGAGACTATTTTTGATGCTAATAGAAGTTGTAGTGGGCTGGAAAAAAAAAAAAAAGCAATTTTGTTCATGTTGATTGCTTCTCATCATGTAGCTTCTAGGTGTTACTGTTTACAATACTGGTATACTAAGAGAAGGGGGCAGAAAATCTTGGTCCGTCAAAAGTGTCAGACATTTCCACATATGTAATTGAAGTTAATTTTCATAACCCACCATGTAGTACTTGTTTTTCCATTATGCACGTGAAGACATTCAGTCTCTGAGAGATTGTAATTTGTATAAACTCATTCACTATAAATGGTGGACCTAATTCCCTTCAGTACTGTCTTTCTTCCAAGCATGGGCAGGGGTTTAACCCATTGCCATTAAGTTGATTCCGACTCCTAGCGACCCTATAAGACAGAGTAGAGCTGCCCTATGGGTTTCCAAGGCTGTGATCTTTATGGAAGCAGACTGCTACATCTTTCTCCTGCACAGTGACTGGTGGATTTGAACCCGCAACCTTTCAGTTAGCAGCCGAACAGTTTAACCACTGCAATACCAAGGCTCCTTGGGCTGGGGGTTCTAAAATCAAACCAAACCTGTTGCTGTCAAGTATATTCCAACTCATAGTGACCCTATACGACAGAGTAGAACTGCCCCATGGGGTTTCCAAGGAGCGGCTGGTGGATTCGAACTGCTGATATTTTGGTTAGCAGCTGAGCCCTTAACAACTTGCGCCACCAGGGCAGGGGTTAGGGAGGTATAATACCATGAAAATGATCAGAATTGAGTAAAGTTGGAAATAAGATCATCATTAGAAAAGAAAAACACTCAAGACCTTCATGACTGGTTTTATTTGGCTATCTTCCCTTTACCTAATTCTAGATAACTTTTTTAGCTCCTGAGTATTCTCTTTGGCAATTTTCCTTCAAGGTGTTATTTGCAATCTCAGGTATTCTTAACATAATTTAATTTCCTGACAAATGAGGCTGAATTTAACTCAAAAATATTTAAATCAACAGTTGTCCAAAAGCATTGCAGTTTTTTATAAATGAGAACATCATTCTCTTAAAGTTCACAAAGTAGATACAGTCTATGCTAACAGCCTCAGAGATTTTGTTGCGTGTTCACGCAAGCCAGATAAAATACCAGAGATAAAATTCTCAACTCAAAGGAGAAAGAGGTTGAGCAGGAATTGATTAGTGGTGGAAGGATTAGATACATGGATAGGTGTGTGGGAGTGAGGTTCAGTTTTAGTAACCTTAGAATTGTGTAGAATTATGGCCAACTGGCAGCCTTTGTTGTAAGTTAAAAACACTAGATTATTCATCAGTAACAGCTTACTTGGTCTCTTCTTTCTTACCCGTGAATGGGCAGCAGACTACTCATATTTTAATTAATTTTCATTTGTTAAACCAGGAATTTGAATGGCTCTTTCACTAACCCTGTTTTTATTGCACAATAGACCATGTGTTAGTCTGGTTTCCTGATCTTTCAAGAGGATTGATGTGAGCCAAGCACAGAAACCTGCTCAGGTTATTAAAGGCTAATAATGATTGTTCTAATGTGTCTGATTATGATGCATATTTTCTCCTCTAGGGTTATCATATTAACTAGTCAATGTATTTGTCAAATGTTAATGTCTTTGTTATTGCAGATACAGATGTGGTGTATAAAAGCGAGAATGGACACGTCATTAAACTGAATATAGAAACAAATGCTACCACATTATTATTGGAAAACACAACTTTTGTAAGTAATGACTGATTAATTACTTTATGCATTTCTGTATTGTTTGGAAAGCTCTCTAGGTGTACATAGCTTTCTATGCTTCAACTCTAGCACTTGCACAGCGTTTCAGGTAGAAAGTTAGGGCTCCAATACCGTTAGAATCAGTAGATCTATTGATAGAAAAATACCTACATGGGCCATCTGCTGATACGCACTGCATTTACCCTTTAGAGTAAATGAGTAAATGTTTCCAGAAAGAATACTTGCTTACAATGAATACATCTTCCAGTATTTTCTATGCAAGATTAATCATACAAATGGCAAGATTTTTTTTTAATGGTTATCTTAGCCCAACCTATCATTAATTTTCTCCCCTCCTTTAAAAAATATTTGATTATATTTCACCCTTAACTTTTCACTCCTCCTGACTTCTTTCTAATTCTGTTGTTTTCTGGATCAGACAGAAGGCAGACTGTCTAAAATTGACCCTCTGTTGGGGTTGATGTACTTTACTTTTGGATTTTAGGATTCTGTCACCACTATTTTCGTTTTCCAGAAGCATTACATGACTATCAATGTCTTAAAAATGTCTGAATTTATTTATAGTGCTGTTATAAAAAATGTAGAAATTGTCTTTCTTGGTAATCACATTTGATATCTAGTCCTCTTAAGGGTTGGAGATCTATCTGTGATTACTTAAATGAATCATAAGTCATAATGAGTAAGTCATAATGAATTAAATATTAAAATTGTTCAGAATCTAGCTATTAAACACTGATAAATATAGTGCATGTATTTAATATTTTATAGTGGTTAAAATTTTTATAAACAAAGGCCCAACGTATTGCTTATTAAGTAAGTTCAGAAGATGTTCTACACAAATTGAAACAACGAGCAAAATCACTAGCTATGTATTCCTACTTGTAAATTTGGAATGGATATTTAATCTTCATGTTTATTATAGGTTGGCCAGGTTGAAAAGCTGGACTAGGACTGCTGTATCTATTGTTTATTAATTGGGTGGTCTTTTGGGATACTAGACAAGGGGCTGTGGAATCGCTGAGAGATGCTGAAATCAATGGAAAAGAAACCCTTGATAGAGGGATAGCAGGCATAAAGCAAGAAGTGGTAGTGATGAGAGGATATGCTAGTGATTTGCTAATTAAAGTCAATATGAATTGATATTACATAAAATTAGCTTGGGGAACAAAAAGTACATTTTTATTTATTTATTTTTAATCATAAAGTGAAATGTTCTGATGAGGATTATAGGCTTCGGATAGCCCAGCAGTTAGTTTGGTACAGACACTCAATACACATTCTGTTCTGTGACTGTTTCTTATTGCTCACTCCCTTATACTCCCTTAATGAGATCTTCCCTCTGGTCCTTTATTATATATGTTTTTCAGTGCCTGTCTGTGTATTGCTTTTTAAGCCTCTATGATACCACACATTGTCAGTTTGTCCTACTGTGATGACTTGCATGTTGCTGTGATACTGGAAGCTATGCCACCAGTCTTTCAAATATCAGCAGGGTCACTCATGGTGGACAGGTTTCAGCACAGGTTCCAGACTAAGACAGACTAGGAAGATGGACCTGGAAGTCTACTTCTGAAAAAGATTGGCCAAGGAAAATCTTATGGATAGCAGCAGAATATTGTCTTATACAATGTCCGGGAAGATGAGCCCCTCAGGTTGGAAGGCACTCAAAATACGACTGGAGAAGAGATGCCTTCTCAAAGTAGAGTCGACCTTAATGATGAGGACATAGTCAAGCTTTCAAGACCTTCATTTGCTGATGCAGCACAACTCAAAATGAGAAGAAAGAGCTGCAGACATCCATTAATAATCAGAACATGGAGTGTATGAAGTATGAATATAGGAAAATTGGAAATCATCAAAAATGAAATGGAACAGATAAAGATCAATATTCTATACATTAGTGAGCTGAAATGGACTGGTATTGACCATTTTGAATCAGACAATCATATAGTCCCCTATGCCAAGAATGGCAAACTGAAGAGGAATGCTGTTGCATTCATCATCAAAAAGAACATTCTATCCTGAAGTACAATGCTGACAGTAATAGTATAATATCCACACGCCTATAAGGAAGACCAGTTAATACGAATATTATTCAAATTTACAAACCAACCACTAATGCCAAAGATGAAGAAATTGAAGATTTTTACCAACTTCTGTAGTCTGAAATTGATCAAATGTGCAATCACAATGCATTGATAATTAATTGTGATTGGAATGTGAAAGCTGGAAACGAAGAAGGATTGGTAGTTGGAAAATATGTCCTTGATGATAGAAACCAGAGATCACATGACAGAATTTTATAAGACCAGTGATTTATTCATTGCAAATACCTTTTTCAACAACATAAATGATGAGTATACATGTGGACCTCACAGGATGGAAAACAGAGGAATCAAATTAACTACATTTGAGGAAAGAGACTATGAGAAAGCTCAGTATCATCAGTCAGAACAAGACCAGGGACCAACTATGGAACAGACCATAATAGCTTATACGCAAGTTCAACTTGAAGGTGAAGAAAATTAGAACAAGTCCACGAGAGCAAAGTATGACCTTGAGTATATCTCACCTGAATTTAGAGACCATCTCAAGAATAGATTTGACACACTGAACACTAATGACCCAAGACCAGATGAGTTGTGAAATGACATCAAAGACATCATACATGATGAAAGCAAGAGGTTGTTAAAAAGACAGGAAAGAAAGAAAAGGCCAAAATGGATGTCAGAAGAGACTCTGAAACTTGCTATTGAAGGTAGAGTAGCTAAAACGAATGGAAGAAATGAAAAAGTAAAAGAAGTGAACAGAAGATTTCAAAGAGCAGCTCGAGAAGACAAAGTATTATAATGAAATGTGCAAAGACCTGGAGTTAAAAAACCAAAAGGGAAGAACACACTCAGCATTTCTTAAGCTGAAAGAACTGAAGAAAAAATTCAAACTTTGAGTCGTAGTTTTGAAGGATTCTATGGGCAAAATATTGAATGACACAGGAAGCATCAAAAGAAGATGGAAGGAATACAGAGAGTCACTGTACCAAAAAGAACTGGTCAACATTCAGTCATTTTTAGGAGGTAGCATATGATCAAGAACTGATGGTATTGAAGGAAGAAGTCCAAGCTGTGAAGGCACTGGTGAAAAACAAGGCTCCAGGAATTGATGAAATACCAGTTGAAATATTTCAGCAAATGGATGCAGTGTTGGAGGTTCTCATTCATCCAGGGTAAGAAATTTGGAAGACAGCTACCTGGCCAACTGACTGGAAGAGATCCATATTTGTGCCCATTCCAAAGAAAACTGATCTAACAGAATGCAGAAATTATCAAAAGAATATCACTAATATCACACGCAAGGAAAATTTTGCTGAAAATAATTCAAAAATAGTGGCAGCAATACGTGGATACGGAACTCCCAGAAATTCAAGCTGGATTCAGAAGAGGACATGGAATGAAGGATATCATTGCTGATGTCAGATGGATCATGACTGAAAGCAGAGAATACCAGAAAGAAGTTTACCTGTGTTTTATTGACTATGCAAAGGCATTTAACTGTATGGATCATAACAAATTATAGATAACATTGAGAAGAATGGGAATTCTAGGACACTTAATTGTACTCACGAGGAACCTGTACGTAGACCAAGAGACAGTCTTTCAAACAGAACCAAGGGGATACTGCATGGTTTAAAATCAGGAAAGATGTGCCTTAGGGTTGTATCCTTTCCCCAGACTGATTCAATCTGTATGCTGAGCAGATAAACCCAGAAGCTGAACTATATGAAGAAGAATATGGCAACAAGATTGGCAGAAGACTTACTAACAACCTGTGATATGCACATGACACAACCTTGCTTGCCAAAATCAAAAAGGACTTGAAGCACCTACTGATGAAGGTCAAAGACTGCAGCCTACAGTATGAATTACACCTCAACATAAAGAAAATAAAAGTCTTTACAATGGGACTAATAAGCAACGTCATGATAAATGGAGAAAAGATTGAAGTCAAGGATTTCATTTTACTTGTATCCACAATCAACACCCATGGAAGCAGCAGTCAAGAAATCAGAGGGTATATCTCACTGGGCAAATCTGCTGCAAAAAAACCCTCTTTAAAGTGTTGAGAAGTAACGATGTTACTTTTAGGACTAAGGTGTGCCTGACCCAAGCTATGATATTTTCAATCACCTCAAATGTATTTGAAAGATAGACAGTGAACAAAGAAGACTGAAAGAGAATTGATGCCTTTGAAGTATGGTGCTGGCCAAGAGTATTGAATATACTGTGGACTACCAGAAGAACAAACAAGTCTGTCTTAGAAGAAGCGCAGCTTGGAAGCAAGGATGGTGAGACTTCATCTCATGCACTTTGGACATATTATCAGGGGGCCCAGTCCCTGGAGAAGGACATCATGCTTGGTAAAGTAGAGCATCAGCAAAAAAGAGGAAGACCCCGGATGAGATGGATTGACACAGTGACTGCAACAATGGGCTCAAACATAGCAACGATGGTGAGGATGGAGCAGGACCAAGCAGTATTTCGTTGTGTTGTATATAAGGTCACTCTGAGTTGGCACCAAATTTGTGAATTTCAGCTCTGTTCTACATTTTTCTCCCATTCGGTCCAGGACATCTCTGTTGCGATACCTGTCAGAGAGGTTTGTGGTGGTAGGCGAGCACTGTCTAGTTCTCCTGCGCTCAGGCTGGTGGAGGCTGTGGTTCGTGTGGTCCTTTAGTCCTTTGGGCCAATATTTTCCTTGTATATTTGGTTTTCATCATTCTTCTTTGCTCTGGAGGAGATGGGACCAATATTTGCATTTTAGATGGCCACTCTCAAGCTTTTAAGACCCCAGACACTACTCATCAAAGAGAGATGTAGAAAATTTCCTTTATGAACTATGTTATGCCAGTTGACCTAGATGTCTTCCCAGGCTATGATCCCCAGTCCCCAGCCCCAGCAACTCTGTCCGTCAAGGTGTTGGGA